TTGTCATAATACCCTGGGTTGATTAAAAAGGGAGTGCAAGGAATGTTAGCAGAGGAAGGAGGAGACTGCAGTAGCTGGGCAGAGAAAATACAGCTTGCAGTGTTTTGCAGCTGTAGCAAAGTAGGGTGGACTGATTGGGAAGAGCTAGCAGATCTTGACGGTAAGGCCTTATCATGAGCTGTTTACATGTTAGTGTAGTTGTCAGGTCTGGTGAGTTTCATTTGTTCAGCTAAATGCTTACAGAGACTGAAGACTTTTTTTGCTGTGGGTACACTTGGTTCATTCATTAGTCATCTCTCACTTCGATTACTGTAATGGCTTCTGGCTAGACGTCCTTCTTCTGCTTTTCACTTACAATCTATTCAATAATCTGCCACATACATAATATCTTGTCATCTTTTCTGTTCACTTAGCTGTGCTGCCAGATCCCCTTAGAACTAACTTTAAAGGACACTCTCAAGATGAAAACAAAACCACACTTTGAGTTCCTAGTTAAATGGCTGGTTGTGCTATCTTGTAGTTACTTCATGAAAAATATTTTAAAAGCCCATCACTTGCGTGGTGTGACAGGCACCTTGGAGTTCTGCAGGGTGTACATGGCAGCAAACGATCATAGTCATTCAAAAGACTCCTGCTCCCGCTGTGTGGGGTCCTGCGCTCAGGCAGCTGGCTACCACGAGGAGAAGAGATTCACCGTTTCCTTTTAGAAGAGAGGGAGCGGTGCTTGCTCATGCATGGCATCCTCTCCTACCTTGAGGAGAAGAGGGCAAGTTGCTGCTAGTGCCTTGGTAGGAAGAAGATAATAACTTTCCTTTAGTTTAATGTGAGTGTGCAAAGTTGCTGTGGAAGAAAGCAATAAAATGACAGCTTTGCTAGCTCCTGTGGTCTAAAGAGCAGCTTGTCACCTTCCCTCTTTCTGTGCTTCTATTTCTGAAAGGCATCTGGGAGGAGAGGGCTCAGAAGGTGAGGCAGAGAGGTAGGGTTGTGCTGTGTTACTGGCAGGGGAGAGAAGCTGACTGCTTCAGGTTCAGAAGTGAACCCAGGGATCTGACAACTGCGGACCATCGGCAGTGGGTTATTACGAGAGTGAAGGAAAGGGGCTATTAGAAGGAAGAGAAGGATTTTCAGCTTCTAAGGGAGAAGTGGACTGGGTTAACAGGTGATTGGGATCACCTTGGAATCCAGTGATGGATTTCTTTCCATCTGTGTCATTTGCATGTGCGACTGTCCTTTGCTTAAGCAGAAGTTACTCGTATCCTGAAGGATGGTAAGAGAAGGGAGCATCTCTTCTAACAGGAAGGAGACAAGAGCTTACTTGATTAGGGATTTGCAAGTGGAGTGTGATTGCAAATTACTGGAGATAATGAGAGTAAAAATTTACATGTTAATACCAAAATTAACAATATTAGGAAATACAGTAAGCGAGAGAGAAAGATTCCATGAGAATTATGAACCACGAGCCCTTAGAGCTTTTCCCAGTGGCTTACTGCATGGCAGTGGAAGACCCATGCTGGTCGTGACTTGCACGAGCGGTGAGAACTTGCAGCTCCACGTAGGTCGGTGAAACAGGTAAATGCTCCATGTCTCAGCCCTGAGGCTGTGGCTCTGCAACTTGCCAGGCTCCAGCAATCTGCACAAGACTGGGCTTTTGACCTTTTTCAAAAAACATAATTACTTCCCAAAACCAGTTTCAGAGCCTTAGAGAGAGTGATTCTGCAGTGATTGTAGAAATACAAATATTTTTCTATTGCCTAATATTTGGTCTCAACTACAAAATCACTTGTTAGCTTTACAGTATGTTGCTGAGGCCTCATCTGTCTTGCAGAATGGTTGTGACTGGGAAATGATGTTAGAATTCCACTATTCCTTGCTAGTAGGGTGGCCAGGGAATATTGTTAAAATGCTCTGAGAGTTGAGAATATTTCTCAAAGTATTTTAAACTGTTTACTCCTAGCTGTGGAGGACACAAATGTGGGCTGAATCAATCTGTACCATAGCAGTTGTTCTGCTTGGTGTCCATGTCCCGGGCCGGTGCTCCTAGAGAGGGCAGCCTTTCTTGAAGGCTGTGTGGAATATATCTTGTAGGGCATGGGAAGCCTCAGCAATAATCCCATCTGGATTTTATCTTTCTATCCCCACTTTCTAGTCTCACTTTTCCATGGAGTGATATAACATACACTTTGTGGGAAGTGAATGACCCAAAACCTGCAACTTGGACTGGGCCAAGTGTGTGTTGTGGAGCTGCTGGGCTGGGTGAGGAGTGCTCCCTCCTTTCTGGCTCTTCATCTTCCCGTGCTGCCCAGTAGCCGCTGGAGCTCACCAGGGGAAGGCGGCCTTGGACCCATGGGCAGGGAGGGTTGGGGACCTGCCTTGGGGCTGGTGGGGCAGGTGGACCCTGGACATCTGCGTATGGGTACAGCATGACGCGGGCAGCCTGTGGGACTTAGGGATGCCAGCAAGGTGGTAGGGAGGCGAGACAAGGAGCCCCGAGCGGGAACTGCAAACTTAGGGGAGAAAGGTCAGTTCTTCTAGAGCCTGGAGTGCAAGGAGAATGTTGGTAGGAGAATAGAGAATAAGGCTCGTTACAGTCGTGGGGAGGGGAGAACGCTGGAAGATGGGATGCAAGGTTTGGGCCAAGCCAGAGGGTGAAGGGCCTTGTACGTGTGTGTGGGGGGGATAGCTGAGGAAACACAGGAAGGGGTCCCAAACAACCACAGAAGAAAAAAGGGAGAGAGGGGGCTTTTGTTTTTCATTATTAAACTGGGCCACCAGAAAGGAAAGGAAAACATGCTTTATCTCTTGGATTCATGCAGGACATACCGAGACATGGGACGTGAGCAGAAAATAGGAGATTGGCAAGACAGAGTGATCTATCCATGTTAACTTTTGTGTATGCAAACAAATAATAAAGTTGGGGAAAGACTAACTGGATTTGAAAATTGATGTCAGTGTGAGGTTTTCGGAGGGTGATTAGGAATATGACTTTTTTTTGTTTGTGTATGTAATCCAGGGACTGTTCTGAGAAGCTGAAGATGTTGCTATTAACTGGAAAGGTCCTTTGCTCCCTGTCTCATTTCAGTTGGCATTGTTACATTAATGTCTACATTTCTTCTATTAAATTACTTTCTGATCTACAGTTCTCCCTGCTTCTCCTCCAGCCCTCCTTTTTCTGCTTACTTTCTGTCTGTCAAAAATCCTTATAAAACCCTTGGCTTCAGCAGCACACGATACTCCCCAGCCTTGTTTCAGGTAGGAAATTTAGCAGTCACTGTTGTTTGCCCATGGTGGAGTGTTCACTTCCCTGGCATGAGACATCCCTAAAAGTTCATCTCAGTCCTTCAGTGTACTAGTCCCACGCCACACACAGTTTGCAGTGTTGCAAATCCTATTAGTTCCAGAGTTTATCATAAGGGAGTGTGTGGTGGTTTGTGGGGTTTTTTTCACTAAGAGGCAAAGCTACTTTTTTTTTTTTAATTGCTTTCTCAAATACCAGATTATTCTTGTTTGCATAATTGACCCTGATGTGCCTAAGTTCTCTTATTAGGAGGTTCATATAGTTTGGACACAGATGCCCAGGGTCCACCTACCCAACCAGGCCAAGGGCCCTAACCATGCCTGGGCCCGAAGGCAGGTCCCCAGCCCTGCCTGCCCGCCCATGGGGCCGTGGTCCCAAGTTTATATGGCTTACTCTTCTCCGTTTAAAATTTAGATCATATTATGCTTTATTTAATTAATTGCATAATCTTGTTTGTTTCTGTTTATTACTGTTTCTTATGCTGTAGCACATGCTGGCTTCTTTCTAACTTGCCAAAAAAAAAAAAAGGCTCAACCACTCTTACTCTCTAATGTCCTTGAGCTACTCATTTGTCTCTCAGCAGAGGCTTTAGAATAATAAAAACACACATCTGCGGACACTCTCCCAGGTAATGAATGCTATTTGCTCAGCTCACACCTTCCGCAAGAACGGGTCTGCATTAGGGAGCTTTGCCGTGTAACTGCTAGGCCCTTCTTGTGCTTTCCCTTGTCGATTTTCAGAATTGGATGAGGTAATTCTAGAGGTAGTTCTGTCTCCCGTCTCGCCTAAAAGGCTGCCAGTCTCCAGCAGCTCGCAGTTTATTCCAGGGAAAGGTCAGCTCGATACTGACACTGATTTCAGATTCAGCTTAAGGTGTGCCTTGGATTTTCCTCCAGCCCAGATTCAGGACCAGAGAGGTACTTACGGGCATGGAGACAAGCCGGTGCCGTGTAATGCAGGCTGCAACGGCTTCTCTGTGAGCACTGTGGAAAGAGGTGCAACGGAACTCCTTGAGGCTAGCCCGTGTTGAACATGGTGTATTCCCTCATGGATCTGGCAGTGAGCTACTCCTGTACAGTCTCTGTGTGATGAAGAAGTACTGTTTCAACCTATAAATTAAGGAGCATTGAGCAACCAAGCATGCAGACTACTGGTGTAGCTAACTATGCATACATTCCTAGCAGGTGCCACAAACGCGCATCCTAACAAGAGAGGGCAGACACTACTTTCTCCTCGCCCTGCTGGCGTCACCTTTGTATTACCTGGATGACACCTGTGCTAGCTCACTGTCACCCGACTCCGTTCTTGGACAGGCACAGGGAAAACAAACGTGCTTACCAGCTGACATAAACTACATTTACACTTACATCATCCAAACACTGAAAAAGCAGCAGACCCAAGCTACCTCGATGTGTCCTTCTGGCCTTATGTGTGCACTGGGCAGAAACGCAACCGAAAAAGCCTTGCAATACAGAGGCAATGGGCCACTGCCCAGATCATCCACTTCCTTCCCTGAGAAGGGGGAGGTCAAAGCACTTACGTGCTGCTTCCCTGCTCTCCCTCAATAATGCAGAAGCTGGGTTTATCCTTTGCTTGATTCTACTGTGAATTGCATTCATAGCCCGCTTCTGCTGCCTACGGTAACAAACAGCAATATAATAAGCAGTGCATTACTAACATAAGCATGTTTTATTTTTCTTTACAGGTAACTGTGCTGGTCCTTTTTGCCCTTGCATTCTTAACGTGTGTTGTATTTCTGGTAGTCTACAAGGTTTACAAGTATGATCATACCTGTCCAGAAGGATTTGTTTTCAAGGTAAATTGCATACACGTTCTAGAAAAATCGGGGAGTCTGTAATATTCCCTGTGTTGTTTTCTGCATAACCTTGATTAAGTCATGCTGTACTGAATAGAAATTTGTGTTTATTTTCATAGGTTAGTGTGCTTCCTGCTATGTTTCTTTCTGCTTAATTTGTAATTGAGGTTGTACTATTGCACAGTGTTCATAATGTCATTATTTTGCTAATGCTTTAAACATTGAAAATACAGCAGAAGTCCCAACACCAGTGTCCTTCAAACCTACTTCATCTGCATTTGCCTGGACAAAGCCCCCATTTATTGGGTCATACCATATAATGTTGCATGTTCCTCCAAATTCCTGCGTCTTAGGAAAGAAGAGAATGATAAAACCTGGAGGAAAAAAAATTTACTCTGGAATATGTGTCAAAGAAACAGCAGAGTGATGTTCTCATTAAGAGTAGCAGAGTCACCTTAGGGTTATTTTTGTAGAAAGAACTTCTTATTCTAGAACAGTGACCTCTGAGCCCTACTGCCACAGGCCAAAACTGATGCCAAAAAAGGGAAAACACATTTATTCGAAAAAATACGGGTGCTAACCAAAAGGGAGGCTGGGGGTCACTTCATTCGTGTGAGGTGGTAGTGCTGGCTCCTCAGCTATGACCTGGGCTGAAAGTCAGAGAGGTTAAAATTGATTTCTCAGTTGTAAATTTAGCAGTGTTAAACTTGGCTGTAGTTAGATAAGAAAAGTAGCAGTGATGATGGCGTTCTTCCCTCTAATTTTTTAAGACTATTTAGTTATGTAATCAATCAAGCGGGTACCTAATATGAGCTTCAGAAGGATTTAAGAAGGAATGGCTGCCTCAGCACTCCTTTGCGATCCAGTTCAGGACTTTTGATTCTGTCACTTCAGGCACATCGATCTAGTTGTGATCCACGATGCCCTGCTGGATTAGCTCAGCTCCAAGCATTCAGGTTTAGGTCACTGCTTTCCCTTGGATCAAGGGCAAAAGAGTGTGTGATTAGAATATTTGGCTGTAACTTGGGAGATCCAGCTTTTGGTTCTGCTGATGGTTTTTTGTGTTGTCTCAGACAAGCGTGAAACCCCGCTGTGCTCGTGTCTCATGGGACGATAGCCTTTTTTTTTTTTCTAAGTTTTCTCTTGGCTTGGAGCAATTTGGAATAAGGACTGTATGTTCCTCCCAAGCCTGTCTTGATGTGATCCTGGCTTGACAGGAGTGGCCAGTTATGTGCTCCCGCTGTAAGTCTAGTAGCAGTCTGCTGCTTCTGCTTCCTTTCATAGCACGTTGTCCCTTCCTTTGAGTTGCAGCCTTCTGGCTGCTTTTGTCTTTTCTTCCTAGCGTCGCAAACATTTAAAGGGAGAAGAGTTTCTGAGCTGCATTTCAGTTGCACTGTGAACAGGATCCAGTTGAGTTTCTCTCCTTAGGGCCCTGTGTTTGCACCAGAGGTTGGGCAGAACGCCCCAAGCTCATGCTTTGTTTTTAAGGTGCAGCACACACACGGGGCTGCGTTACTATTGCTTTCCCAGTGTCGGGTTTTGCGGAGGCTGTTTCCTAGCTGCTTGATGGCGTAATGCCAGGAGACACGGCATCTTTGGTCGTGTAACTCTTAGAGTTCTACAGAATAGACGCGTTAGCAAATGACACAAGGCCTGAAACCTACCAGTGTTGACACGAATTTGTATTTGTTGCCTTTGCATCTTTTTTTGGGGAGAGTCAGTAATATGTCACAACATAGCTTGGTAGAGATGTCCTAAGAGTCTGTCACCTTGTGACCAACATCTCTGTGGACTGGCTTCGTGCTTCAGGTGGACCCAACAACGTTCTATGGCCTGGATGTCCCCAGGCTTTGGATGCTGATGTGATTTCCTGGTTAAGGGCAAAGGTGTCTCCTGCCTCAGGAAGCCTGGTACCATGGGAGTCTCTCTGCATAAAGGCTGAGCAGCTGTCATTCAGACTCACTCTTCTCTGCTTTCATACATGGAGCAGTTCCAAAGGTTTCAGTGTTTTCAGCCCTTCTGCTGTCTTACGCATCCAGAGCTCGAAGGTGTGCTTAAAATGGTGCTCATTTTCCTTTGTATGGCAATCTTAAACTGCTCGAGCCTCTATTTTGTGCTTCCTCGAGCTTTCTGACACAGCCCTAATACTGCTCTTGTGCAGATCACTCCTCTGAAGCTCTCTTCACTGGCTGTTGGTGCGACTCACCGGAGTTTTTCTCAAAGACCTGAGTGTGCTTAGATCCTGGAGGAATTTCTCCAGGGCTTCAGTACGCTCCGTACTGTTACCCTTTAGCTTTTGTTGCCAAGGCACCTGCATTCTGTCGGCTCATGGACAGCACAACAAAGTCATTTTAGTGCATTAAAGGCAACAGCATAATCTGAAGTTTGGAATTACTGACCCAGCAAAGTTAACGTGACAGAAGATACTATTTATAAGTGAAAACCGCTGGGCTCTTTATGTCAGAGGAACAAAGGGAGTCGTCTTCATACGGCCAGATAGAGACTGGCAACCAGGATTTTCTCTGACATCAAGGGCCTTAACCAACATAACTAATTCTGAAATAGAAGGGTTGTGAAAGAAACAAGAGACTGGCAACTCACTCTGGAGCATCCCAGTTTCTCCTCATGGCCTTCCTTATTACTTCTCTCACCTGGGAACCATGGAGACAAATGAAAAGGATGGAGAGGAATGTTCTGCACAAGCTGAAGGTCTCAGGCAAGCGGCAGGGTGAGAATCGCCACCAGTTTCCATCACTCAGTCGCTTCAGAGTGCTGCATGGCTTGCCTTGGTGAGGGGCTGAGGAAAGGGGGCTCTCTCCTTGGGCAGTACACAAGGAGCAGTGAGGAAAAGGGGAGCTTTCTCCTGTCTTTCCTTGAAGCAGGAAATACTGGGAGCAAAAATGCAGTCAAGGTGGAAACTCCTGCTTGTTTCTTTAGGCTCTTCTGTCAGGTGTTGTGCATGTTTCTGACTACAGAAAATAACAATACTGAGTCATTTTGTCTGTTACGAAGCAAATTGCTTCTGAAAGCAACAAAAGATTCTGTGGCATTTTTTTATACTGGCAGTAATCTTGGCTTGTCTTCTTGAATCTCCTTGGCAGTTTCAGGAGATCAATGGATTGTGTTCCTTCCCCCTTTTTAAATATTTAGAACGGTGACTACACCCCATGATTGGGTAAAATAATCACTACAAAGATGTCTGTGTCTACGTACTTCTTGGTCATTGTTTCACATCGGAAGCAGTGTCAGTTACCCCAGATAAAGCATGGGTGGTGCTTCCAGAAGATGGCACGGTTGCTGTAGGTGAACGTGCTTATCAGATAGCTCTGTTCCAGAGCTGTCCTGGATTTTTTTTTTTTCAAATCCAGGTCTGAGTCTTGTAGCTGGTGCACACGATGACTGTGACCACTGGGAAACCTCTGCTGACTTCCACGGTGCAGAACGGGTACACGTGTCTGCTTAGCTGGGGTTAAATCCCACCTGCTTTGTAGTGCTACTTCAAACCAAACTGTGAGAGAAGATTTGCCCCGGTTGCCACGGAAAGATAACAAATAAACTGCGTAACAAAGGATGACAAACAAACCGAGCCTGGGTGGATGTGGTAACTTTGAGCGCCATTGTGAGCCTGACGCCCAGCGAGGCTTCTGTCAGCCAAGCAGGACAGAACCCGGGAGGTGTGAACTCCGGGGGAGGACTGTCAGGCTTGTGACCACGCGTCCTCAGATCCGCCACAAGATCGCATTCGTCAGGGGCAGGCGGGTTCCTACCTGTAGGCCTGTGGTGTCGGCAAGTCTTGCTTTTTTCTTTCATACCTTTTGATGCTTTCTTTCACTCTAACGTTTTTAGGATGCAGAATTTATATTAAGCCAAGACTGTCTGCTGGATCTGTCCCCCAGTCATTTCGTGCTTTATGATTTAAACCATTTGAAACCTGTTCCTACTGGGGCTTATTTATGCCTCTTCTCTTTTTTTTTTTTTTGACGAGTCAACCCAAAAGAAAACATGGACACATTTGAGATAGCATCTGGTCCTAAAAAACAGGACATTTTTGAACGCGTTTTTGTGCTCAGGAATTTCCAAGGTAAATTTCCATTTGCTGAGATCTGGGAGAACAGTAGCAGTTGCTGTGCTGTAGCATGACGAATTTTACTCTTCCGGTGCTTTAATTTTGCGAAACAATTAAACTTATTTTTCCTCAAGGTGCAGCTACTGATGGTTTATATTTTAGAGGGTCAGTTCTGTCTCCCAGATGCCTGCCCCGGCGCTGAGGTATCAGGCAAGGCTGCCTGGCCTGGCAGGTACGGCAGAGGACCTGCGGGGAGGCCCCTGACCTGCTGGAGCAGAACCTGGGGGGTCGCAGGATATGGCCAAGTCATGTTTCCCGGCAGCGCAAGGAGCTGCTCCGTAGGCTTTTACTGCGTCGTCACCGCAAGGGTTGCTAGGCGAAACCTGCTGGCCAACGTGCTGCGCGTGCACGTTTGCTTTGGTTTTTAAGATGACAGCAAAGTTCAGCTCCTACTTACTGTTTAACTCTCTAAATCACGTATTTCACTTCCAGAAGCTCCGAGCATCTACCAGTTTCTACGCAGTGCTCCTACGGGAGCTTCTGGGAAACTAAATAATGCAGTCCCGCAGCTCGATAGCTTTTTAAAAGCCTGCTGTCAGCTACGTCTTCCTGGCAGTCAAGAGTGAAGTGTTTTGTACGTGTGTGCACGCTTGCACATACGCTTGGCCACGTGCAATGTTTTCCCTCTAGGTCTTTGTTTCCTGGGCCATAGCACTGTTCGTCCCCTGGCACCAACACATCTGCATTCATTTCTGCCCCTCAGCCCGAACACGGGGTGTGAGCGTGCCAGGGAGCTAATCTGAGGGTGGGGTGCAGGCAGCTGTACGCGTAGACCAGAGGGCTGGAACTGGGCGGGGAGGGGAAAGCGCAGCAAAATCTGGCTGGAAGGAGAGCTTGAGTAGTTTTTTAAAAATAATGTTAGGCAAGCATGTTTCGTGTGTGTTAATTATTCTGGCCTGTGACCCCAGATCAGTCACCCTGGCAAACGCACAAGTAGTGTAAGGATTGAAGGGAAGAACATCTTGAATGCAGCAGGACAAGGCCGTGGTTAATTGCTCTGTGTTGCATCTTGCCTCACAGAAAGTGAATGATGGCTTAGGCTAAAAGGAAAAGAAAAAAACCCAAAACCCAACCCAACCCACTTTTGGTGTGTCCGGGTCCATGTCTGTAATCTAAGTGATGGATTTTCTTTTCAGAATAATCAATGCATTCCAGCTGGGTTGGAAAACTACTACTCTGAGCAAGACTCCAGCGCTCGGGGGAAATTCTACACCGTCATAAACCACTACAACCTGGCCAAGCAAACCATCACGCGCTCAGTGTCCCCCTGGATGACGGTACTGTCAGAAGAGAAGCTCTCTGAGCAGGAGACTGAAGCTGCTGAGAAATCAGCTTAGTGTGATGAGCTAATTATTAACACTATGTCATTGGAAGGTAACTAAGGGACTTTAAGGAACTTTTCATTAAATATAATTATGGATAATTTAGAGGTTACTCATGTTTATGGTGCAATTGCTTCTGTTTGCTGATACTGCTTTGCAAAAAAAAAAAAAACAAAAAAAAAACCAAACCCCAAACCCAAATCAAAAACTTGCTGCAGAACATTCATGGGCGTAACCAAGGTGCAACGGTGCATATCAGCAGCGCTTTACAGCTTTGACACCATTTTCAATGTTTAAAAAAAAAAAAAAAGCCAATGTTAGGTATGTTCTTGCAGTTTATTGGGTACTGACAGATTTCTTCGCTGGATTTTCAGGGCTTGGACCTTCGCTCAATCATGTGTTCTGTTGTCTGGACTGATACTTGAGTTACTGATTTTTTCATTCTTTGTCATGTTGCAAACTGAAACACCTCAGCCATAACTCGAGTGATCTCTCGTTTAGCTGACAGCTGTATTTAATACTTAGTTTTGGCTCAAGCAAGAATGAGCGTCAGCGCTGATGTCAGGGGCATAATGTAATGACTTGTACGGAGAACGACACTGCCAGGTAGCATTTTTCTCACATTTTCTTTACTGTTTATTTGTAAGTGATACTGAAGTTCTCTGCAACGGGGCATGCTCAGTGTTTTCTTATTGCTGTCAGCAGGGTTTAACTGCGTTTCCACTGTGGCTTTAGCGGCTTGGGAAGGGTAGCACTGAACCACAAACTAGCTAGGCCTTATGGAAAAACACAGGCAGATTTAGTGATGGGTGCTGAGGGTAGTGTGGGACACAGACAGTTGGGGATGTCCTGAGGAGAAGCAACAGCTTTTGCTCGTGTTCAAGAGGCAGAAAGCCTGTTCACTGCAGACATAGTCCACTCTGTAATTCGTTGGATATGACAGAGGGAGTAGGGTGTCTAAATTTTCTCTTCTATTGCATTAACATTTTCCCTTTGTATTAATTAGAGCTTTCAGTTTATGTCTGGTTTGCAGTTTGAGACTTTTTAAAACACAGAGCATCACAAGTGAAACACTAGCGCATGAGGTAACGCAAGCGGCTGCTTGAGAGCGACACCTGAGACGGAGCATGAAGAGTAGAACGGTTCCTGTACGGCTCGGGAGGGGAGGTGGCGTAGAAGAACATAGTACTGTGGGTGCACGTTAAAGTTCCATTGTAACTACGAACTTATCTATCCTTTGTGTGAAACCATGTTACTTCATTTTTATTATAAATCTTAAATATATATTACAAAAGAAAAAAAAGACATCTTTGTTAATTTAACAGTTAGACAAAATAAGTCTCTGAAGCGTCTGGGCAGTGGTTGGTGCAGCTCGAACAGGGCAAGGTGGAGTGGGCATGTCAAAAGTTTCTTTGGGGGG